TCAAAATAATTTTACGAAGGGGTGTTGGTTCCAATTTTGCTTCTCGAAAAGCTCTTATTTAGGGTTATTGGTTTCAATCTTGGTAAGATAGTATTCGAATAATTCGTAACTTTGAATAAATAATGATTAAGGGATCCTTTTCATGGGGAATATGAGATATTTATGCGGATCCAGTGTCTATTAAAATAAGTTGATAAAAAATTTTGTTCTTTTTCAGGTTTTATGTTTTGGGAATCCAGCTTCATCCTGAAGGAGCTATTTTTCTAATTATGCCTTGAGGATCTTCGGGGTTCCAATATTCTTCTAGGATGATAATTTTTTGACATTCTTCTTTAACGTGGAATTCTTTTTTCGGTGGAAGGTTGTTGAGGGGGTTTCGATGTTAATATGATGAATCTATTAGGTTGGGTGGTTATGGAGGTAGAAAGTTTTCTAGTGGTTATGGTTTTCGAGTAGAATGGGGCAAAGTTATCCCGGGAGAGTCCAGATGGCTTTAGGGTTTTTATAGGTTTAGAGTGCTCAACCAAAGTTGGGCTTTTAGAAGGTGTTGCCATGAGTGTAACCCTGCGAAAATTCTCGGGTTAGAAAGTTGGGTATCAAATTTTCTTTTTCTTTAAAAATTATATTTTTAATTCAAAACAAGAAAATAGATTTTACCATCTAGCAAATATTTGTTTGAAAATTATATTTTTCACATCTTTTTCTAAAACTTCTTTTGCAGATTTACAATCAATTCTTAACAAAAAATTTTTATTTATTAAATTATATTGAATTTTTTGGATATTTAAAATTATACTTAAAACTTCCTCTTTTATGGTACTATAATTTTTTTGGGCATTATTCCAAATTCCTGAGTGATATCTTACCATTTGTTCACAGTTATTTCCTAATTTTTGTTTTAGTATTCCTCCATATCCTAGATTAAAGACATTTGTTTCTACTATTATTTTGGCTTTTGGGTGTGATTTTCCTAGACAGGGTACGATTATAACTAGATTTTTTGTTGTTATTACTATCTTAGTCATTTCTGGGTCCATGGTTTTGGGTTTTTTCTAAGTTTGTTGAAAAGGGTTTACAAAGTATTCTTAAATTTGGCATGAAGTCGGCTACATAGTTTAGGCAATCTAGAAACCTTTGTAATTGAAGTTTGTCTTTTATTTCGTTAGGGAATTTTTCAGAGAATTCAACACTTCTATTTATAGGAGTTATGGTTCCTTTGGGTTATGTCATGTCCTAAGAATCTTATTTTGGTTTAAGCTAATTTTATTTTCTTTTGTGTCACTTTCTTTTTGTCTTTTAATCTGTTTTTCTAGTTTTAAGTTATTGCATGTTTCTAAAGCAATGTTTTTAATAGTTGCAATTATTTTTCGATATGTTAGGTCTTGTAAAGGCTCGGGGTATTTCTGAGCTAATTTTTCTCTTACTTTTATTACAAATACGGGGGGTAATCCAGCAATGAATCTTTCTTTCCAAAAGTTTTCTTTACAATCTGTTATAGTCATTACCATTATTATAAAATTATCTATATACCACCTGAAATCTCCTAAAGTAGCACATCTTAGATTATGTAGCAGAGTACTTGTTTTTTCGTCAAAGGTATTTAAATCACCCATAAAGTTATGGATAATTGATATTATTAAGGTTTCTACCATTAGTGGTATTTGTGTATTTCCATCTTGTTTTACTGCACTTAAAATAAACATTCTTCATTTTGAGGTTAGGTAATTTTCTCACCATCCTTTTAGTGATCCAGTGAATCCTAAAATTAACAATTGTATAGTTTGTTCTTCTGTGTTTTTAGCTCTATAAGTCGAGACAACCATAGCCATTTCATTAGTTTTCCTTAATAGCTGGTAATTGGTTTGACCCATCTATATTCCATTTAGTTTTTCCTATTCCATTAAAAGCTGACGGGTTTTCCAAATTTCATTCTTCAATTTGTATATCTGGTAGGTCTTCTGTAGTAATTTAGTGGTTGACATATTATGGTTATTAGGATTTGCATTAAACTTGCTTCCTGTTCTACTTATTTTTTCATTAGTCTATATTTTCTAGATTTCCTAATTCGTCTTCAAGGATTTCTATTTTTTGTTTATCTCACCTAGTATTCTATCATATTGATTTCCTATTTTAAATTCTTTATATTCTTTATTAGAGAGTCTTATAGGATTTATTAGGGATTTTTGCATATCTGTTATTCCTAAAGGATTTACGTTGCTTTATGATTTTTCTTCTTCAATAGTCTTTTGAGATATTTGATGTAATATTTGGTTCGTAAAATTTAATTGACTATGAATATTTTGAATATCATTTATATTCAGAGGTTCACTTTTATTCATTTTTTCTCCTATTATTTTGAAGGGCGATGCAATTACTTCTTTATTTTCAATATTACATAATTTTACTTCTTCTAAAGGAGGGATTTTACTAATTGTATCTTTAGTCTTTGTTTTCCTTATTTTTTTCACCATTTTGTAGAACATTTATTTATAAATTTTCTAAACAATTATTTTTAAACCATTTGAAGTAGGGTATATTTTTTTGAATTAGTTCTAAGTAGTTGTAATACTTATTTCTATATTCTTTTAATTTATTTTGATCGAAAGTTTTGTAGAATCATTCTTTTTTTTCTTGATTCTTTATATTTAGAAACTCTTGTCTTAATGATTTTTTATTTATTTCAAACTTAGTTATTACATTTATTATATTATCATCTTGATGTAATTTAGTAGGGGAATTATGAGTTTCTCCATTCTCATATTCGTATTCCGGCATATTGTGCTTTGCCTAATTTCTTTTAGTTTTAAACTTCTATGATGTATTAAACTAAATTGATCTATGAACTTTTTAGTTGTTACAAAAGTATTTCTACCGGAGGTTCCTCTTAATGAATTAGTTCTTTTGGTTGGGGTAAAAGATATTTTTACTGTTCTCGATTTGTATTCAGTTATAATGTCTACTTCCATTGGTTCTAGAGGTTCTAGTACTAGTAGGTTTTCTAACTTTCAACTAAGACCACTAGATATTTTAGTATATTTTAGTGTTTTTGGTATTATGCGTTAACCTTTTCGATATTAATTAGTAACATAGTAGTTTCATCTTCTGGGGACATTAATAAGGCTCTTATAGCTAATTGCGTTTTTATTATTTTATAATAGATTCTATATTTTATGGCTATGGGTATTGTCTTTTGATTCCATACGTTTTTTGGTATTTTTATATCTAGTATTATATTATTTTCTGTATTATAAAGACTTTTGAGGGCTATTGAATAATTTGGGTAATTATTTATGTATACTAGTCCATTACGAAGGTTTGTTTCAAACATGACGAAAATTTGGTTTTCAAGTTTTACTAGTATGTTGTCTCTTAATGCTACGAACATGAGAGTATCTATTCCTTTTCCTGAATATGAGTTTTATTGCTATTTGAATAGATCCTACATGGACATATCTATCCTCTTTTATGCGTTAAACTATTAGATTTTTAGTTATTAATGATACTTTTTAATGAGTTGATTGTAATTCAATATTTTTTGTTTTTATGAGTTATATATATATATATATATATATATATATATATATATATATATATTAAATAAAAAATTAATGTTTTATTTTCTATCTCTCTTCTTAAATTTTATATTATAAAATAATATCTCATTTTAAGTAATAAATTAAATTACGAAAAATAATTTTTTTTTGTTAATTTTAATTTCTTCCCTCAATATAAAATGATATAATAATTTTTATAATTATATATATAAAAGTTTTTTTATATAACTACTATGTGAAAAATAAAAGTGTTATAATTTTAAAAAGATTTATTATGGTTTTTATATTTAAAAAATAGTAAAAATATAAAAAATACATATTTAAAGAATGGAAAATAAAAATAAAATTTTGAATAAATTAATTAGAAAGAGATTATTTTATTGCCAACTCATGAAAAAAATATACTTTTAAACATAATAATAATAATTATGATTTATATATTTAAAAATAGTAAAAATATTAGAAAGAAAACAAAATGTTAGAAAAAATGGATAAATCTAAAAATAAAAAATAAAAATTTTAAATAAATAATTATAAAAAAATGTTCAATTTAATAATTAAAATAATAAAAAAGAACATTTATATTTTGTACGGAAAACAATGAGTTATTATCAGGTGAAAATAAAATACTCTATAGTTTGAGCTTGTCAATATCTTAAAATTTCAAACAATCCGAATATTATTTTCCAGCTTTAATTTGTTAAAAAAGAAAAAAATTCTCCTAAAGAATTTGAAATCTGATTGAAGTATTTTTTAAAATATTTATTTGAAGTATGTAACAAGGGATTTTATCTAGTTTTTTTTAATAGATAAATATTCGATATTAATATGTTAAATTTTATTAAAGAAAATTTATTGGATATCATCTAACTCTTTCACTTACTCCAATCCCCTATCAATTTCATATTTAATAGTTGAGAGAAAATGTAGTTTTATAAAAATAAAATCATAAGAAATGTATATTAGTGTATATAGATTAATTTAAAAAATATATTCTGATAACCAAAATTCATACCACTTTCAAAACAATCACATTTAATATTATAGTAATAAGTTTAAATTATTTTTATTAATTTTTTATTATTATATTAATAAAAAGTGGTTATAGGAAGTGTTGTTTGGATTAAAGGGTGTCATTGACTCATTGCTCATTAACTTCATAATATACTTACAAAATTTAAAATTTATGTTAAGAAAATTATTTAAAAAAAAAGAAACTATTGAAAATTTTCAAATCTATACATCAGTATTTTCGCATGATTAAAAAACTAGAATCATAAACATCTAATATTATTTTCTCTTCTTTAAGTGAACGAATAATAAAAAATGTTAAGAACCGGGCCGAAAGGGTTGTTCCCAAGCCCATTGCTTATATATAAACACAACCCTAACTAGGGTTTTTCTTAGAGTCAGCCTCGCTCCCGTCGCCATACAGCAGCTGCAGCAATGGTGAGTTACAATTACAACCTCTGTTCTGAATAAGTTTCCACATTTTCTTCGTTTTTATTTCATCTCACATCTTCATATCGAATTTAGTAGCCATGATTTAACTATTACGTCGATTTTAATGTGAACATCGTCTTCGTTTGTGTAATGGGCGATTCTTATTGTGGATTATGATGTGAAACATCGTATTCGTTTGCGTAATATGCGATTCTTATAATTTTGTAGGCTCCCAAACGTGGTGGAAAAGCTCCGGTTCTTGCTGCTAAGAAGAAGCCTGTATGTACCTAACTGCTTAAACTTTAGTTCGGTGTGTGATTCATTTTTGTAATATGTTTTCGTTCTGATGGTGGTTTCTCCTGTTATTGAATATCAGGAGAAGGTTACCAATCCGCTTTTCGAGAAGCGTCCGAAGCAGTTCGGAATCGGAGGAGCGTTGCCGCCGAAGAGAGACCTCACTCGGTTCGTGAAGTGGCCTAAGACCGTCCAGATTCAGAGAAAGAAGAGAATTCTGAAGCAGAGGTTGAAGGTTCCTCCAGCTTTGAACCAGTTTACAAAGACTCTTGACAAGAACCTAGGTCAGAATAACTTGCTTAGTGCTGGATCTGATATATTTTTGCTTGTTGTTCTGTGATTTGTAATGTTTCGAGTTTTTGGTTTGCTTGAGATGCGTTGTTTAAGCTAATGTCTTAAGACGTGCGTAATGTGGTATCGTTAAAGGTTTAATGTAAGGTGCTATGAAGTGTAATTAACAATGCTTCAGAAATGAATGTTGAGTTAGTTTCGTACACCACCTTAAGACCTATGATAATTACTATTGTTTGGTTCTTGTTAGTTATGCGATACGCCTTTGGCACAAGTACCTGCATTTTCTGTTGTAGTTAGTGTTCCGTCTTCCGAATTTTGATGGTTTATAATAACCTAATATGCAGCAACAAGTCTGTTCAAGATTCTTTTGAAGTACAGGCCTGAGGATAAAGCAGAAAAGAAAGAGAGGCTCTTGAAAAGGGCACAGGCAGAAGCTGAGGGCAAAACTATCGAAGCTAAGAAGCCTATTAATGTGAAGTATGGTCTCAACCATGTTACCTACCTCATTGAGCAGGTTGTCTTCTGTCTAATCATCACTGTTTCTTTGTAGTTTTGTTCACCCATTTATTTTTTTATATTGAAGAATGACTGATTAAGTTGTTTTATTTTGTTTCCTCGCAGAACAAAGCACAACTTGTTGTGATTGCTCATGATGTGGACCCAATCGAATTGGTTGTCTGGCTTCCCGCGTTGTGCAGGAAAATGGAAATTCCATATTGCATTGTGAAAGGGAAGGCCCGCTTGGGAACGGTAATTTTTCTTTGAATATTGTGATTTTCATGCTGTATAACTGAATTTTTTATGACATGCCTAATCTGATAACTGTTTTAATCCAAATTCACCTAATCAGGTTGTCCATAAGAAAACCGCATCTGTTTTGTGCTTGACAACTGTGAAGAATGAAGATAAGTTGGAGTTCAGCAGAGTCTTGGAGGCTATCAAGGTGGCGTTGATAAATTTATACTGTATATTTTTTGCCGTTAATGGTCTTGTAAAATACTGATGTGTTGTATGTTTTGTATTCATTTTAGGCTAACTTCAATGACAAATATGACGAGTACAGAAAGAAGTGGGGTGGTGGAATCATGGGATCCAAATCCCAAGCCAAAACCCGGGCAAAGGAAAAACTTCTTGCCAAGGAAGCTGCTCAGAGGATGTCTTAGGAAGAGTTTCTTATATTTTTTTGCTTTGCAGATGCTCTTTAGTGTGTGTTATTTAATGTGACTCTCTTTTTCTTATTTTCTCCCTAAAAACATTTGTTATTCACATGAGCTAAAGTATTTCTTTAAAATCTCCTACCGACTGTCCCAGTTCTTGAATTCCAGAAACAGTCATTTTTGTAGTAGACGTTTTCGGGTACTTATGCAGTTAATATCCAATTTTTGATATTTGATATATTTATAATTTATGATTTTCTGTTTATAAGTAGTTGTTAGAGTATCCAATTTTTCATATTTGATGTATTCCAAACAGAACGTGATTCTGTTATCGCCGAATATGCAAGTCTTGGTATTTTTAGCCTAATTTGTCGATCCTAAAAATTATTTTTAAACATAAATGAATTAAAGTAATGTTTGCGTTAAGTTCTTTCAGTTTAATTTAGCTGAGTTGTTTTGGTAGTTACGAGGAGGTGAAGAAAAAAATTTATTGCAAATATTTGCATTATGTTTGAAATTTTTAATGTTTTCCGAATGCTGGTAACGGATTTACTTCTGATTAAGCGATTTTGTCATTTGTCAATTTATGATTTATTGGCAATTGGTTATAGCGTTTTTAAGAGTGATGTTGGTGGTAAAAGAAGAGTTTGTGTTTCTTTTAATTGATTAAATTCAGCAATGTGCGTCACAGATCTATTTTTTTAAAGTATTAGGCGTTAATAAAGGCTGTACCGTCGTATGAAGCATTGTATATCCAAGTGTAAGGTTAAGCATCTACATTGAGAGAAAATATTAACCAAAGCATTAACAATCCTTCGTATCAAACATGTTAAAATAACCTTAGTTTGATTGTACATCTAAATTGAGTAAAAGTACTAACTATCCTTTTGTATGAAACATGGTTAAATAAACTTCTACCGTTCTATCCATCGTTAGAGAGATAACAATTATATGAAGTTTTTTTCTTCTAAATCTCCAATTCAGTACATGTTTTACGGCAAGTATTTTAAATTCTAAAATAAAAAGAGAAAAAATAAAAAAACTTTCAAAATCTTTCATTCAAACACGTATCATGGGATATTGTTTTTTATTATTATTTTAGGAACACCAGAATTGTGTTTATAATTTTCTATGTAATTTTGAAAAGAAAAAACGTAGCTTTTACCTCTATATCTAGTCTCATCTAAAAAAAAAAAAACTATTTTCTATTTATACAAAACTGACAAAAAGAAAATAGGGAATAAAAGTTTTGACCTAAAGTTAGACTCTCATTCAACTTTTTGAAGAAATGATCTGGAATAAATGTTTATGGTAGTTCCTATAAACAATCTGCAAATAAAATTTTAATCTTCAGAGGAAAACAAAATAATTTTCTCCCTCAAGATTTATTTTTTTCAGAAATTAATTGTATTATAGAAATGGTAGGAAAAATAGGACTTAGAATTAAAATGTGACTAAAGGTGATTAGTTTTTTTCTACAGATCAAAGTGTGTTCTTGGACAAATTTTCATAGACCATATTAGATCCTTGTCTTTTAATCATATTAATGGAATAGGTTATTTTTTCCTCCACGCTCTTACTTTCTTCCTTCCTGCACTCCATATTTATACAAAATAACAATATTACTCTTAATGTAAATACTTGTGGAAAGAATTGTCAGAAATTGAGTTTCATATTGTATTTTTCAAAATGCATGTTTTGGGAAATATATTATGAAAAAATGATTCAAAAACAATTTTTGAAAAATTGCCCAAAAAATTTCTGAACTATATTTCCAACTAACAGAATCTGTAATATATGGATTGTATTTTCTAGAAATATATTATAGTATTAATAATATATTTCCGAATAATACATTCTAGAAATGCATTTTAGATATGCAAATCAAAATTATTTTCTTACAAAATGTTTGAATGCACAATAAATCATATAATTTAAAATATAAATAATCAAGAAATTTCTAATCTTAAAATAAAAAAAATGTTTAAATAAATAAAATAAAATATTTGAATGAAGATACAGTAGGAAACGTATGAAAATACAATATTAAGGTGTGATGCTAGAAAGTAAGCCGGCCTCAAAATATTTTTGACATTTTACATTTTATATATATATATATATATATATATATATATATATATATATATATATATATATATATATATATATATATAAAGATAAAAGATATATATTAGAGTGCATAAAAAATCAGTCATGGATTAAACACCTAATTATTATATTCATAAAATTTCAGTCCATCTATTTTTTGTCAATGAAAATAATAGGTTCACCAAGTAATACATTACAAATACAAATGCCAAATAATTTGGCAGATTTAACAATGAAAGATAGTGTAATTACAAATGAAAAAAAGGATTTTATTCATTTATTTTTGTTTTTAAAATTTTAAATCCAAATTTAAAAAAAAATATTTTTTTAAACAAATTGAGAAAAACCACTTATGTAATAACTCTACTTTAAAAATCATTTTAGATAGACCACATTAATTATTTAGAAAATAACTATAACAACTTTAAATGTAAAAAGACAAATAATACATTATATTATTATTATTGAATGCGACAATATTATTAATAAAAACATATTTGATTAGTTTTAATTTTTAAAAGTTTTAAAATCTAAAAAACATTATAATTAAAAAAAAAACAATAATAAACAAATATGTCTGAATTTTTATTTTTTACGTAATTATTTCTCCACGAGACAAGTTATTTGCATTTTTCGAATAAATATACGGACTCAAATGAAAGTTAAAAGAATAAGACATATCAACTAAAAATTAACATCAAGTAACAAAATAAATTCCACGAGACAACTAGTAGCACAGTGATAGTCCTTAGGGTGAATTTCTAATTTCTATGTTTGATGATTGGAGTTTATCATTCATTATTTTATTATATATATATATATATATATATATATATATAAATTATCATTGATTTTAATTTGTAAATCTAAATATCATAAATCTTAATAAAAAATTAAGGAATATATACAAATAGAATTAGACTTTTTTCTCAATTTTACTATAAATATTAATATTTCATTTAACAAAAATATCACAACTTTATATTAAATAAGATAATATTATTAATATTAATTCTCATTTTATGTTATAAAATATCACAATCTTATTTTATGTTATAAAATATCACAATTTTATCTTAAATAAGATAATATTATTAATATCAATTCTCATTTTATATTATCTAGGTTGCAACTTCTATTCTAAAAATACGAATATAATTAACCAGTACGCATAAGAAATTTAATGATTATATATATGCTTTAAATAACAAATATTTAAAATTTTTAAAATTTTAGTATATAATTAAGTTAATATAATTTTCTCATTCGTAGTAAATTAAACGATTTTGAGTCATATTTTCAAAACATGCTTCACGCTATTTAAATGTGAGCTGAAAAGTGCTTAAAAGAGCAACAACACAACACATTCTCGTGTCTGTTCCCGCCATTGCAAAGAGGAACGAAATGGCTTCGAGAACCCTAACGGACTTTTTCCAACCCGCTTCGAAGCGGTTGAAGGCCACGCTCCCGCCATCCTGCAAATCTGACGAGGCCAACGCCTCCACGCTTCCCGTCGACCAGAAGTTGCGCGTGGAATACAACAAACTCCTCGCCAAGTCCAAGCGGAATCTCAAACTTTGCGTCGATAGGGTCTCCAAGACCAAAGGTAACTTCTGTCGTTTCGGACAATGCAGTGTCGTTTTTCTGATGGTTCAAAACGCAGAGTTTTGTGATGGTTCATAGGTTTAGGTGGTGTGAAGCTGGAGGAGGTGCTGGTGGAGGAAACCTGGTTGGAGGCTATCCCTGGTGAACTTCAGAAACCCTATGCACTCACTCTGTCGAAGTTCGTGGAAAGTGAGATTTCGAGTGGCGACGACGTCGTATTCCCTCCCACGCACTTGATTTTCAACGCTCTTAACTCTACGCCTTTTCATAGAGTCAAAGCTGTCATCCTTGGCCAGGTTTGTTAATTTTTGTTGGGTTTTGTCTCATTCGACGTTGTTTGTGATTTTGTTTCGGCAAACTTCTTGGTAATCACAAGAAAAAAAGAGTTAAAATATATTGAACTTTTTAGGTCAATTAAATAAACTTATACAGGAAAAGTTTTTTTTTTTGCTTCAATTTCAATTATTTTTACGAAAAATAAGTTTACGAAATATGTTTGATGTTTGGGCTGAAATTTAGTAAGAAAAACTTTTTAAAATTTGATTTATTTATTGCATCCAAACGAAACTCATTATAATTGAATATTTGTTACAGTTGATTATGTGAAATAATTTTATTTTCGTAGCTGCTCTAAACATTTCCTTAACTTTAGTAGAAGCTGTACTTGTCCTCAATTTCCTGCAGTTTCAAGAAACACGATAATACTGCAATTGCTACTTCAACTGCAATGTGAAACCTGTTCTCTAAAAGCTTATGCGCATAAATTGACTTTAAACTAAAAGAAGTTCGATTTTTTTTTTCTTTCTCTTTTTATGTATTTTTTGGAAAAATTTATCCAAGGAGATGAAGATTGACTCTCTTATAGTGATTTGTGGGTTTTGTTTAATGTTTAGGACCCTTATCATGGGCCTGGTCAAGCAATGGGGCTTTCATTCTCAGTTCCTGAGGGAATCAAAGTCCCTTCCAGTTTGGTGAATATATTCAAGGAGCTTCATCAAGACCTTGGTTGCACCATTCCACCTCATGGAAATCTTCAAAAATGGGCTGTGCAGGTACAATCTCCAACATGCGTCTGGGTCATGTGAGGGATTTGTCTTTTTTCAAATATTGCAATTAAGGGGAAGATGGATCTCTGGGAATAATTACAGATGGGTTGGGTATCTGTTTTAGTGCTCATTTTGATGTGAGAAACATCGACCAAATTCCTTTAATAGTTTGACTTCAATTTTATTCACTTATTTACAAGCATGCACTGAACATATTGTATTTCTTCTCACTGTCTGTCTATCTAGAATTCTCTGTAATGACAAGCTATAAAGTTTTTAAATTAATGGCGATCAATGTATACTCTGAATGCCACGTCCATAAGTTTTTTATGAATGGATGTTTGATAAATAGTATCAAATGTTAAGAACATAGTAAGTGTAATGCGTGATAGAGCTTAGTCTTGTTTATGTTTTGATAGTTCTTTCTGCATTAACTTCATTTCCTATGATATTTTTAATGGCTTAGTTTGGATAACTTTTGCAAGTACATGTGGAAGATGTTAAATGGGAGGTAAAATGTATCACAATTTTCTTTTAAGTTAAAATCAGTTTATGTATTTTAGTTTTTTTAGAAATTTTCTCATCTAAATTTTCTAAGAACGAAAATCCATAACTTGATTTTAACATACGTAGAAATTTGTTTCGTTATATCTCATTATTTCTTCTATAATAAGAACTTGTGGAAAACTTCATCCAAATGAAGGCAATATATTTTATGGTTAAGGCCTCTTAAACGTTTCCTTCAAATGTTTTGTATGGTTTGAAGATGAAATGTATTTGTCAATAACTAAAATCCACACCTTAAAAAGGGTGCCAATGTAACGTATTCAATAGAAAGATGGATTGCTCTAGATGTTTGGTGTGTTCGTGCTATGAAAGCCATGTTGGATATTTTAACATATTTTGTGACTTGGTTCAGTGAGAGTGGTTTTTTAAATACTATATCTGATCATAATTTGAACTTTATTTCAGGGTGTTCTCTTACTCAATGCTGTTCTCACAGGTTAGACTCTTAATTTTCGTGGACTTCGATCAAGTATATTTATTGATGGCTTATAGATATCATTTTGTTTACAGTATGATACTGTCCTTCACTATTGTTTGGTGTTTTTTGACTAGTATTAAACTTTTGAGTTCAGTCAGGAAGCATCAAGCAAATTCTCATGCTAAAAAAGGCTGGGAACAATTTACTGATGCTGTTATCAAGACAATCTCACAGAAGAGGGAAGGAGTTGTGTTTCTGTTGTGGGGAAATTCTGCTCGGGAGAAATCTAGGTACTGCAACTGTGTAACACTATAGCAGGCCTTTGGAACCAAACAACTAATAGTGACCTGGGCTTGCAATAGTTTCCTAAATATTTTTCCAAAGCCTGAATGAAAAAAATAAAATATTGGAGTAAATTTTTATTTGTGAGATATGGATGAATCAAGTTACAGAAAGCATACATTTATTAACTTGTGTTTTCTTAAACTAAATTGGATTCTTTTCTTTCCTTGCCTGAAAGATAAATTCTGTGAAACTAGTTGTTGAACTTATGTTTGAGTATCATATACACAGGTTAATTGATGCAACAAAGCATCACGTTCTTACAGCTGCACATCCTTCTGGTTTGTCTGCAAATAGAGGCTTCTTTGGTTGCAGGTAAGATAGTTTTGGATAATAATTTAATGTTCGGAAAAATATATTTAGTCTCTATACTTTTTGAGAAACTTGGTTTTGGTCCCCATATTTTCAAATCAATAAATTAGTCCTCAAACGTTAGAAAATATTTGAATTCAAGCCTTGTTCCAACTTTTAAACCGTAAAAAATTGTCACTAAATGTTAAATTTATGCATGAAAAAGAGCTAATTTTACATGTTTTCAAAAGTTTGAGGATTAATTCGTCAATTTGATTACTCAGGGGATTAAAGTAAACTTTAGCAAAAAATTACAGCGACTAAAATCACATTTTCCTTTTAATTTTTTGTTGATATAGCTGTGAGTGAAGTAACATGTTCAACTTCTAATTGTATTGCATTGTATGTACAATATATTAACCAGACATTGATGAACATACTTTTTGTTTATGTAAAGAACACATGAAAAGGCCAGCTGTTATAGTAAAGAACTTCTGAATTGGAAGGAATATTTGCAAAATAAGTGCCTTCGTGATACTTTATAACTTATAACATTAATTAAAAATAATTGTTTCAAAATACTTCAGGTGGTTGAGTAGTAGGTGGTAAACCAAAAAGTGAAAATATACTTGGACACAAAAAACTCTAGAATACATTGTCACTTTCTTTCATTTGCATTTTTTATCTAGAATTGCACTTCTCGCATACTCAACCAAACTCACTATTAGCATTGTAAAATCAATGCAGGATTTAAATTATGCATTTCTTATTGTATTTAGTGCTGTCACTAGGCCTTTTGCAGTCTAACATTAGCCGTTCACATAGTGGTTGATTAATACAGCTGATGCATGTTCTGTTCCAATGGAATATTGGGCCATATTTTGGTCAGATTTGCTAGAGTCATGGAGTGAACGAACTGAAACTCAGATCTTACGTAATTGCCAATTGATTTGTTAAAAAGGCAACTGATTATTTTTCCCTTCATCTACATAAGCAATTTTTCATTCTAACATTTCATCTTGTTCATTTAAATTTATTCGTTCAGGCACTTCTCTCGCACAAATCAACTTCTGGAGCAAATGGGGATTGATCCCATAGATTGGCAACTATAATTTTAGGGAGTGTTTCAAGGTATTTTTTGCCTTAGGTTAGGATCGTTTTTTGAAGCCTACTGTTTCAAGTTTGGGGCGCTTCTGAAATGAATTTCCTTTGTGTGTATATATTATGTATACAGATATATATATATCTGTCTATTTCAAATCTACCTAGAAAGATACTTTTTCTCAATTGTCTGACTCTGCACCGTTCTTTCTGACATTCTGCTGTAATGACCGTTACTCTAGGATTTTGACTTAACAATGTTTCTTTCGTGTATTATCTAAAGATTATTCAATATTATGCATGCGTGTTTATGGACACGAGATTTAAAAGGTTATCGGTTTTGTTTTCTAATTAAAACAATTTTGAATTGATATTTGACCTGGCACATCACCTATTTGTCATGTATTAAAAGTATATTATATTTAAAAAAATTGGATCATTAATCTTCAATCAATTTTATAAATAATATATTTTAAACAAATTATTTAAATAATATATATATATATATATATATATTTATTAAATTAAATCTGGTTATTATTTATACATTAAATTTAATAACAGAAAATAAGTTCAATTAATATAATATAATTATCTCTTTTCTTTCTTAATTTTTTTCTTTTCTCTATCTTAAGTTTAATATTTGTTTTCTTTTTTTCTCTTTTTTTATTCTTTTAAATTTGTCTCATTTCATTTTAGTTTCAAATTAAAAATGTTATTAAAATTTAATAAAATGAAATTTTTATTATTTATGAAAAATAAAAATATTTTTTAATTACTTAATTTGATTAATTATCACAATTCAACCTAATTATACTTAGAATAAATTATTAAATAGAAAAATATATTTAATTTATAAATATTTATTTTAATTAAATGAGTAGTTAATTTATTGTCATAAAATAAATTTAAATTATTTATGTCATTATCAATACAGTTATTTATTATGATAAATAAAATTAATTAGTTGATAATTTTTTTAGTTTTAATATTGATTTTAAAATATTGTAGTTTCAATCAATATTGTAGTTTTAACCAGAAAAACAAGTAAGAGAGGGAATTGAAAAAAATTATATATGAATAATAAATATATCTATTTGAATAAATAAATTGATATAAGGTAATTTTTTTTAAATATATTATTTATAAGATTAATTTATTAATTTCATCAATTACAAAATATAAAAATTACGATAATTGAAAAATACTCGAGTAATTAATAATATTAATGGAATCACAAAATAAATTATTTATAAGATAGATTACATTTTAAAAATATGAATATCAATTATAATGCAATTTATATATAACAGAGTACTTATTTACTATAAGTTTTAATTTTAATTATGTAAATGAACAATATTTGTATACGTCACATAATTAAGATATTAGTTTGTCGCCAATAAATTTTTTTATCACAGATTAAATTGTTCATCGTGATTCCAAAAATATGATTTATATATTTATTTTGATTTATTATAAAATTTAATTATATCATGATTTACACATTAAAACTTTTATTTTTAACAAGATTAGTTCTATGAAATCAAATATTGTCGCGTAAAACATATTTCCAATCTAGATTTGACTAATCAAAATTTTACAATACAACTTACACAGTAAAAAAAATCATCAAAATTATTTGACAGAAAATTTCTTCTATGAGTGAAAAACTATATAGCAAAAGGACAAAGGAAGAAAAATGAAACAATGCCCTACCTAGAGAGTATGACCCAACAGACACCACTTGACAGTATGACATGGGGTCAGAACTCTTCTCTCTCTCTCCACTTGAAAATTCACTTTTCACCAATCTTACTGAAAAAATTGACACATAAAAAACTGTAAAATAGATTACACGTTAAACAAAATTGTATCATTGGACATAAAACTGCATCACTGTACACACAGTTATTTCCCATCTAAACAACTCTGATACTTTTTATTTATACTGAACTGATTCAAACTTTGGAAAAGGTTAATGTGAATAACCCGTGACTATCTGCATATTCTACGGTAAGTTAATAATAAGAACCTATAATTGGGGATCCAGCCTGTGTGATGTGTCTCTGTTTTGTAGTTCCTCCACTCTGTCAAAATACCTCCCACTCATTCCACGTTACTCGATGTGACCTAATCACTCTGCCACATACACTCGCACTATCATCATACCTTCTTTTTACTAATTCACATCTTTTATATTCCTCCACTCATACCTTTCTCCACGTGCTCTCAACCCAGGTTTTCAAAATCCTTTTCTTCCATTACTTAACTTTAATCATACCTTTCTTTTTACTATTTTTAATTTCAACTTGTGCAATTATGTTGCTATTTTTTTTATGGAGTTGATTACATTTTTTCTTAGACTATTTCGTCTTAATCTTTTTTTTGGTATCATCATATCTTACCTTCCTTTGAATCTAGGGTTTTCTTTTTACTTTTTTAACTCCCCATTATGCCACTAATAATTGAAATTCTCACTTTTTTATATACCTTTTTTTCTCTCTCTTTCCAATATTGATTTGTAGCATCTTTGTATTCATTAATAAAAATTAGTAATGTAGATTGGGTTTGTTGAAAATAGTTTTTGTATACATGATGCAGAACATGTATATATATATATATATATATATATATATATATATATATATATATATATATATATATATGCAGGCATTGTTTTGTTGTCTCCTGTTCTTTAGCAACGAGTGATCATTGCCCACATGGTCCCTGGTCTTGAGATATTTGCATGATGGTCCCTACTGATTATTCCAATAATAAAACAAAAAAATTAGATTACAACCAGATGTCATTGATATTATCGCCCAAGTGTTTCAAAACAGAACAGGGTTACCTTTCTAAGAATATTCCTTTGAAAAGTAATATATATATATATATATATATATATATATATATATATATATATATATATATATAATTTAAGATTTTTATTTTTTATATTTTACATATTATTCGTGTCCTGTTTATTATATTAAAAAAATAATTTATGTAAGAAAATGATTAAGACACCGGAAATTAAACACTTTGTTAAAGTTATTACTTAATCAAATTAAAAATATATGACGTTTTCACGGTCTCTAAATATAATTCATCATAAAATTGCTCGTTATTCTTTAACTAATTCCTTTTTAAATCTTTCATTTAAAAAACTTACTTATTTTTAATTATTCATTAAAATTAGAAAGATTGCTAAAAAATATAAAAAAAATCATAAGTATATAAATAAATAAATAAACACATGTACGAAAAATCTTGTTAATGTTTGTTGTCATAAACCCACTAACAGTAGGCTAAATTATGAAGAATAATTTAAATTAAAAACTAATGTCTTAAATCACTGTAGAATAATTAAAAGTCATGACAATATAATTTACATGAAAAATAAATACTTGTAATTTCTTAATTAGTGGATTTATCGTTTAGTTAGGGGTAGGGTAACTGTTAAGATTGACCAAAATTGTTCTAATTCAAATCTGATTGGAGTAATTACAGAAAGACAAAAATATTATTTTCGAGACACAGTGGTATTAGCATTTGTTTTGGAAAAGACCAAACATTTACTGCTAAACAAACATGTTAGTATTAGGGTGTCCGAAGCTCACATGGTAGGGGCGCACTTTCCACGTGATTCACTATGGAACCTGTGCTCTTTTCCTAGGGATTCTAAACTTTTTAGATCTCATCTAATATATTATTTACTTTTTCTATTTCATCCATTTCAATACCACAAACTTTAAACATACTGTACTTTTTATAAAATCATCTTTTGCGAGGAGTGTTTCTTTAAATTTTTCTCATTGGAAATTTCTATCATAAAAATTAATATATTATATAATAAATATATAGTTATTTATGTATTTGTTTATTCATATTTTATATTATTTTTTCATATTTTTTATTTTTAATATAAATCACAAATTCTTTCTCCGTTTTTTATATTTATTATATTTTTATTATGTTTTTCTTTAAAAAAATATTATAATAACTATTTTTATATTATTTTCTCCATTTTTTATCAAATCGTTTTTTTTTCTTGAGAAGAAATATCATTAAACTCAAAATTTATAAGCTCATTATATTTTTAATCTACGCTGAATGGGCTTTAATGATTTTATTGTCTCTGCTTTAAAACAAAAGTTGGTTATTTAATAATACTATAAGACAAATTCGAGCTGTCAGGTATATCCTTAAATATGAACTAATTATATTTGATATTTTTCTTCAAAGCCTTACAAATGGAATGTTATTTATTATTATTATTATTATTATTATTTGAATTATACTTTATAAACAAAGATAAAAGTTAAATTTGAACTCAAAAACCTATGAAAAAAATCGATTAAAAAAATTGAGATTTAAATCATATTTACACATATTAGTCAAAAGAGGCAGATTCCCCTAATATAGTTAGAACTGTTGATTAAAGAAAATCTGTGATATATTCATTAATGAATTTAAAGAACATTTCAAAAGTATAAACATGATCTTAAAAAATAATTATAACCAAATTAATTATACATTTCATAAAATATAAAATTAATTACAATCTCAATCATTAATTTTTAATTAGCAGAGTATTATTACACTCCATCTTCTACATTGAATTTGTCATGTTTAAACAAGTCAGATCCAAAAATCGCGAGTACTTTCCAGCGAAACACTCTCTTTAACAAGATTATTCATCAGATGTTGTCGTTGTAGAATAAGGCATGAGATGGAGGATTGAAAAAGTAATTAAAAAAGGGTTTAAGTGTATATTGGCAAAGATTGTGCTGTGCACTGTAGAGTGGAATAAAACCCCAGCGTAGTCTTCTTCTCGTTCACCCTCACTCTCACTCTCACTCTCACTCTCACTCAGGTATCTCTCTCACTCTCTCTCTGTTTTTCTTGTGTTTGGATTCATCCTATGCAGATTTACTCTTTCGATATTTTCTTCCCTTTGCATTCTACTTTCCTTCTCAACGCTTTTCTTTCACCTACACGCTTCTTG